CATTAAAAAGAAATGACTGACCTTTCTCCAGTGCGGACTTATTTTAAAATGAGGTACTTTGTGCCCTTATCTGCCCCTGCTGTTGCAAACTTGAGGTTGTAAAACAGTACTTCATGTGGCTTGTGGTTCCCTCAATCTTTGTTCGGTCTTAAACATCGGCAAAATCACACCGGGACAACGTATGGTCAGTGGAGAATTCGGAGCAGTGCAGCCAGGCTGATGTGTTCAAAGAGGAGAGCCTTTCTGGGGAAGGAGGGTATCTGGACTGGCTGGTGGATTAAAGCAGCATCTACAGTCTAAGCTTCCGCACAGATTGGGCCTGCAGAGCCAGGACGAACTAGTCACGCTACAATTCCTGCCAAGGTGCGGAAGTACCGTGTTCTGCTGGGAACTCGCCTTCTGAGGTTGCTGTCCTGCAAAGCATCAGCACCTCTGTCGCTCCTGCGGAGTCTTATCCTGGATGAAACGTGGCTTTAGATGCACGCTAAAAGCAAGGCCAGGGCTTTGGCAGAGTAGCTCTTCATAGGTCTAATTAGGAATTCACGCCCTGCCTTTACACATGCAGCTGCCCTATCAACTCTTCATCCCGACACCTTTCGGATTTGGTGGGGGAAAAGCCTCAACTATACCGCTCTTAAATGGATGTGCCTTAAACTTTCATGGTTTTGGATGCCCGAGACCTTGCTCTGGTGTTTCCTGAGGTTTCTGCGCTGATCAAAGTAGGCCCGTGCTCTCCTTGGTGTTTTCTTGTCTCATCTGGAGAAGTAACCGAGTGGTGGTGGGGAAGGCAAAAGGGGTTTTAGGAATGCAGCATCAACACTTGATGGACCTAGCTTCCCTGGGAAGGGATGGAGGGCTCTGCTCTGACTTACCCACTGGAGTTGGAGCCCTGAACTTGGTGAAGAGAGGCAATAATGGGGAAGCACGGAGAGTTTGTCTTTGTTCTGACCTCTAAGCAAATAATCACTCTGAGAGATATAACAGATAAGGATATAGGTTTTACAAAATAGGCGACTCGGCTGTGTCTGTTGGTTATGTGAGTTCAGCCCAGTGTTACTTCTAGGTTACCTACAGTGCTTCCTCTTGGAAGAAGTAACTGGGTCTCCTCACAAAAATTCCGCTGTTACAGGCCAAAAAAAAAGTTGCACCTCTGCCTCCGTATTTGTGGTGATATTTGATCTATGTTTTGCCAGAAATACTCAAAACATCCTTATTTGCTCCCCTATTTGCTGTTGTTGAGCTCCTGGTTCCCCTCTATCCTTTCCCCAGCGGCACCATTGCCATGCTCGCTTCTTGATGTACCGTATTTCCACCCCTTGGGTTTTATTGAACCTGTCCCAGGAGCCTGGTTACCCTTTCCTTCAGGGTTTGACCTTGATCTTGCAGACAAACCCTGCACCTTTCCATCCAGCTTCTCGAAGTGCTCCAGCAAGCTGAGTTGAATTCTTCTAAATGTATTGCTGGTTTTCTCATTTTCCAACTTCCCTAGAAACGTACACACGTCGTACTTCCGTGCGTGTCCTCCCTTACCTTAATTCTTACGGAGAAGGGGGAAACAAGTTTTGTATCTGAAATTGTGACTGTCAGACTCAAGGAACAAGTTTTCAGCAGGGAGCAGAGCCCGCCTGACTGCGGCACTCTGTCCTTCTGTTCCCTGCTTTCTCAACCATCAGTTTTGCCCTTCCTGGAGGAGCTGGCCCATTCTTCCCTGTTTTCCAGTACTTCTTTCCATTGCCCCAGTCCCACTACACACTAATCTTTCTCAGGGGTTCTCGGTTTCTCCAAATTAGTTTGATCTTAGAGTTGGAACCCTGAGAAACACCAGTGTCCCTACATTTCCCAGACTGTATCCCTTTTTTTTTTTTCTGCTAGCACGTGACTCCCAAATGCTCTTAGCCCTCAATCAACTCACAAAACTCTGCTGCCACAGCATTCCCAAGATGCTGGTGGCCCTTATCCCTGACTGTGGGTTCTTCCATGTCCCAGAAGAGCTCACCTGACTTTCCTTGTATTTCAGCAGCACCAAACGCTTCCGCAAACCCTCTGCTATTGTTAAGCTCCTAAACACTCATCCCTATCTCTGTAATTTCCCTGTCCTATAAACCTCTGTGTTTCTCATCCTCATCCATCTCCTTAAGCATGTGGAACTACTTCTGTGCTGCCTATCCTGCAAAACAAACCACTCCTACTCCAACTCACCCTCTCGGTGATCTCCTGCACTTCCCTTCTCCCTTCCAGCACTGGTATTCCTACTTCCCTGCATGGCAGATGCTCCCAGTCCAAAGACACAACTCTTCTGCAGTGTCCTGTGACCTACAGTTGCTCCCTGGAAGTTTCCCATGTCTTCCAAATAACTGTGCTGTGCTTCCAAACGTGCCTGTGACTGCTCAGCGTTTACACCCACTCAGCTTTCTCCTCTTGTACTAATTCACCTCAGCTCAGACCTTCAGTTTGCCTTTTGCCGGGTGTTGAATCCCTCCGAGTGCCCACTCTCTCCCCTTTCCTGGAGGATTTCACATTCTCAGTGAAACGCTCCTGGTTTTGGCACTCTCGCTCCGGCACTGCTGGACTGGCCTCTTGTTTTCGGCCAGACCGAGCTTACTACGCGTCTGCAGAGCTGGTAATCTGTGGTCTTGCCAGCCTACGAGAAGCGCAGGGATGTTCCTGGGAGGATCACCCCGAGGTGGCAGTTTTTGCACCGCTCCTCAGGCCAGGGAGAGCTGGTATATTGACCAACTTGTATAACGGCTTCATGTTCATCCAGGCTTTCAACTCTGGATTTACAGCTACCCAGGATGGGGCTGTTACTTTTGATTTATCAGTCAAAGCCTTTTTTTAATTTGCATTTTAACATTTTTACAGAAAAGAGAGGGATAATATGGTGCAAGCTTCCCTTAGGGAATACATCACCTTATTCTACAGCTGTATTTCATCATGATGTAGAAGATAATGTTTCAAGTAGTTACGCTTCTGATTAATCATCCTTTAATTACCCACTTAACTATGAGTGATGCAGCGGGTCACATCAAGGTACTGCGTGATGTGAAGAATCCGGTCTCACTCTTCAGATGCTCCAGAAGGATCCTGCTCAACGTATGAATCATCGTCCATTTGTGACATACAGAGACTGGTTTAGATGCTGCACCTGCTCTTTCTCCTTTCTTGACCGTGAAGCCAACAGCTTTGTGTCCGGCGTCAGGTTTTTACTTCATTTAAACTCCCCCATAAACACAGAAAGTGGAATTTTTTTAGGCATGTTTGGAGAAGTCCTGAGTTTTTTCCAGTGGGGGCCTCCCAGGGGCAATACATGTTCCCACACCTTCAAGTGGCTGTGGAGCTCTGCCCACTGGGCTGCCCCTGATGCTGAAGGACACCCCCTGAATCACTTCCTTCTATTCCCAGCAGAGACATCACCTCCTCTCTCAAACAAGGGGCATCAGCTGAGCACTGGGATAAAGTCTGAAAACACATGAGTACTTGTGTAATAAAAAACTAGGATGTCCACGTCTGTGGGGAGAAAGAGGATCGCTCTCTGCTGGGATGCAAGAAGCCAGGTGATCAAGGCAAAAGCTGTACAACAAGCATGTGTTTAACGTCTCGAAGGGAAGAATTGGGCAACAGCTTATGTACCACAGTAAAATCCTCCAGCTTCCCAAGGGAAGTGCATTTATCTTCATTTTTAAAACATCTGAAGCGTGGTTTTCTTTTTTGTTATGATTAACTAGTTCGTAAATTCAAGAGAGGCTGTTTGCAGGGTGATTGGGTACGCGGTACCACAGGTCTTTGCTAAACCTACACCCTTAAATTCTGGTATTTGTGTTTGTGTCCGGTCAAGTGGCTAATTCTGTTTGTTGAGGACGTCACCCTTGCTCTCTCTTGATACCGCATAAAGTGCTGTGTAAACAGCATTGCAGCAGGAGTCTGAGTATTTGTTAAAAAAAAAAAATAGCACGGCAGGCTTGTTGCAATAACGGAGACGTGTGCTCTGACCCGAAGATCCCCAGATCGGTTCCTGGGAAGAGGACCATCTTTGGTCCTGGCCTTGATTGCCTGTGTGGTCTGTTCTAATAGGCTAAAGCTTTCCCTGGGAGGATCCTGGATTAAATCCTGCAGGGTGTCTGTGCTTCACAACCCCCTGCAGAGCCGCGGAGAGTGAAGCAGAGCAGGCACTGTGCCCTTCTGATCCTCTTCCGCAGGGTCTCGTGGCAGTAGGGAGACTGGGATGTGTCGGAGGGTGTGCGTAGCCACCCTGTTTCCATGGCTGCTACATGGAGATCAGTTTATCCCGAATGCTCTGGCAAATGACCCAACAGACGTGTCTGTGGTGTATCTCAAGGAAGGAGACTGCGATACAGCTGAGATCTACCCGTGCCGTGTAAGGGACACCTTATTCTGCCCAGGGGTGATTTGTCCCAACCTGAGAGTGACGGCAAGTGCCAGCCACCTCCCTGGAGCGCTGGGGTGGGAGGAGAGGGTGGGTGGCTTGGTCTTGGGGTGAGAGCTGGATGTTAAAAACTAGGAAAGAGCATCCAGGCTCCAACCTTAGGGAAAGCTTACCAAACCACAGCCTGCTGAGAGACTCGCACCCCAGCGGAGACTCCGCTCCTGCCCTTTGTCATACCATGAAGGAGCCAGTTGTGCCTGCCAAACCTCTTTAATTAAGGACAGACCAGAGCTGTGGCAGCATTCTTGCTGCAGGGAAAAGAAAGCGTGCACGCGTGTGCAAAGGATGCACGTGCAAGGAAACCAAGTGGGCATCTCCCCCGTACGTACACCAGATCAACTCGCATCCCTGGTGATCCCCAGAGCGATAGTATCGTGAGAGACCAAAGGATTCATCTACGCTTGTGAAAACGACGGATCCAGGCCAACCACGGGGCAGCCTTCTGCTATGGTCCAGGCAGAGCGCACCAGAAAGAAAGAAACGCAGGTCCCACGGCAAAAGTGCGCAGCCTCTGCTCCAGCTGCCGCCCATCCGGACCGTGGAATGAGCCGCTGTCTCACTCGTGTCCCGCCTCACCATCCCTGCTCGCCCCACGTGGTTCCAGGCTGTTGTAGGATGGCAGCGTAGTCACTACAGCTTCGACAGTGAAGCGGTGCGGAGCGCCGAGACCTGGCAGCTCATCCTGGAAAGCGGTGTTATCCTGACTGCTTGGAGGGGCTCCCAGTGGAGAGAGCTGCTGCCGGGAACGGAACCACCGCATGGCCAGGATAAGGGTGATGGCAGTGAAATCCAGAATCAGCTCTGCAAGCTCCATCACAGACAGGACAGAGGATCCAAACCAGAGACTCCACTGGTTCCCAAGCTGGGAGAGCAGAGTAACTACCTGCAAGAGATGTAGAAAGGGCACTTTCCTCACGACAGCCCTCGTCTGAGCCTTTTGCCTGCCTGCTCCTGCCAGCAGTGCCCCCGAGGTGCTGGGAGCTTCCTCCCACCCTGCCACAGGAAAAGAGATTTGGGAGCCAGCAATGCTGCTGGAACAAACGCCTGCCAGTATGGAGGGACATCTTGGGGGAATGGGTGGCTAGAGAGGACGTGGCAGTAAAGGCTGTACCGTGAAGGCTGGAGACTCCCCGCTGGTCTTGTAGTTCCACTCCTCAAAAAAGATATTCACTTTGGCAACTCCATTCCTGTACATAAAAGATGGGGCTCAGCAACCCCAAATCCACAATCCCTGCATTTCTTCACCAAGCTTAGTTGTCCCCTCTGCTCCCTGTCCTCATGCATATACCGCTCAGGGGCTTTCCCCCATCTCCGCAGTTCCCTCATTCTGCACAAAATACAGTCTTTGGTACTTAGAGCGCACATCTCGGACTGCGCTGGGAAACCTAGTGTTGGTGGCATCCTGTGCTGGCCAAGTGCAAGCTCCTGCATGGCTCTGCTTCCCACTCTTCCACTAGCCCTTTCCCATGACTCCAGACCACTCAGCAGCTGCCTGGGGCCTACTGTTTCCATACTAGCGGCCGACCCTTTCCAGACTCTCGATTCTCGGTCATTGCTGAAGTCTCAGTTTAAGTCTACCCTGACTCAAACCCACTGGCCTTGTCCATGAGTCCCGTGCCTAATCTTTTCCCATTGGTGATTTAGTCTTAACTGGCCCTCCCGACACACACACTCCACCGGGATGGTTTCTGGTTTGGCCACAACCTCTGTTTATGGGTTCTCACCTCTTGGATGTGATATTGTATTTGTTCTGTTGTGAAAGCATGTAAAAAACCCAGTCCTGAAATGAAAAGTGCAATAAAGTGCATTACATGATCGCAGTCACCTCATGCACCGGTTGAGGAAGGACTAAATGGGAGGCCAAAGCAGTGCTGGGGAGCCAGGAAGCCCTCTCCTTACCTCTGAGACAGCAGAAGGCCAGCGGGAGTATCCGGCTGACAGCTGGTATTCTGTCATCCTGGAAAGCAAGAGGCTGCGTTAGCTGTTGAAGCTCTAGGAGCCACGAGACCAGGTCTCTCCTGGAAACTGCCCCCCCTGCCCCTGGCTGAAGTTCTGCCCGCTTCCCACCGAGCCCCTGCGCAGTCCTCGGGAGCTCATCCTGATGCTCCTCAGCCATTTCAGCTTCCTGGTGGGAAAAATACTGGTTTTGGGCAATAGCTGAGCTGCAATCCAAGCTTTTGTCCCGGTCAGCAAATGCTTCCCGGCACCTCCAGGAATAGAGAGTTCCTAATCTACGTGACCGACAGTCAAACTTACTTGCAAGGTTTCCGACATTTGTGGAAACAGCCCAAGACGTCAGCTTTGAATTCAGCCAGGAGTTTGTAATAGCAGTAGCCTGAGCAGCAGAGAAAGTAAATCCAGGTAAACTCACAGTATCTGTATACAAAAGGTGACGGGTGGCAGCGCGGGGAAACCAGAGGTTTCCTTCGGCAAGCTCAGAGGGACAAGCCGTCCGAGACTTTGGGGTGTCCCACACCAGGAAGCTCATGGAAGACAACGAGGAGCCGTACTGGGACGTGAGGTGGAGCGAACAGGCTCAGGTGGGCACGAGCTTTACCGTTCCTGCGGCCCGCTTACCCCAGGCGATGTGCTTCGTGTAGTCGCAGTACTCCGCTCCGGCGGGTAAGGGGTAGAAGTAATACCCGCAGCCACAGCGCTCCACCATGTTGAGCTGAAAGCAGGAGCGAATGCAGACCTGGGAGGCGGATGAAGCGGAAAAGGCTAAACACGGGAACCGAACCCACTGCAGCCCGTATTGACGTCGTGCTGCTAACGGAGCCCACGGACCGGCACGGCTGAAGGGGCACTGAAGCGTTTCAGGAAAGTCGGGAAGCCGTGAGGAGGAGTTACCTGTTCGGTGTAGCGGGAGGAGTACAGGTTGGGCACCGGCACGTCGCTGCCATCCTCCGTGCAATCGCTGTAACTGCCCCCGAGGCGCACGGTCATCTCCTGGAGTACCAGAGGGTGGTGGCACCGGGTGACTCGCGCCGGGCTGTTCTGCTACGCGCCCGTGCCGCACGCTGCTTGGCCATTTGTACCTGCTCTTCACGCCTTCACGGGGCTGCCAGCCCCCCTGCTTCCCTTTATTTCATTGCCCACCCATGCGCTGCAGCAAATGCATCTCGTCCAGTCCAGTCAGCTGCTCTTCATCCCCTCCCTTCAATCCATGTGATTAATCCCCTCCCTTAACCCCCCCTGGGTCCATGGCAACCCACCCGTACCTACCCACCGAGTTAACCCTCCTCCCATAACCTCGCGTCTCCTCCGCCTGCTGCTCCCTCACCTTTCTCATGCTGATGGAGGTCTCGATGCCCGGGCGCACGTTGAAACCCCCGTCGTCCATGAAGGCCGGCTCGTTCTGGTCGTGGACCATGACCCTGGCTCCCGTCACCGTGGACAAGAGCGGGATGAAATCGTTCTGTTCGGTGCGCACCACCAGAGAGAGACCTGAGGGGATGTCAGAGAGTGGGGAGGGGGGTCAGGGCTTGTGGGAGACGGGGGAGCCAAACGATCAGAAGTCAGTCTGTAGGAGATGAAGGAAGAGGAACAACGACCAGGGCTGCGATGGAGGGTGGCTGGAGCTCCAGGAGAGGACAGGGAGAATGGGGTTTCTTCACTGTGGCTTAGAAAAAGCGTAACTGGAAATTGAGAGAGATTTCATGGAGACGCTCGGAGCTGGATGCAAGAAAAACCTGAAGATTGTGCCTGGAGAGGTTTCAGGGGGTTTGGGAACACAAAAGGTGTCAGGCTGCTGGAAAGAGGAAAATGGGGAAGGAGGAGATGAAGACCAGGCTCTCAGGAGCACAGCGCTACGGCTCAACAGGGGACTTCAGGAAGGACCAGCGCAGGTCCAGGGGGACCAACGACCGCGACGGCCGGGCACTGGCCGGAGAGAGGTCAGTGGGGTGGTAGCAGGGGACAGCTGTGTCCATGGCAGCCATCTCCCCATGGGTGAAAACAGAGCTCGGGCGAGCCAGAGCAGGGCTGCAACCTGCCACCCCCAGCGCTAGGCAGGATGCTCCGGGGGACCGCGGAGCGGGGCTACTCACCCACCGGTGCCTCTCACCCACCGTTATTGATCCCAGGCAGCGAGGACGTCCACAGGCTGCTGCTGTTGTCATTAAAGGTATAGCAGTTCCCGTACAGGGGATGGTGGAAGTGGGTGTAATTCCTGAGAGGGGCAAGAGGCACATTCAGGAGGGGTGCGAGGGGCTGCAGGACCAAGGGGAAGGGCTTTCTGAAAGGAGCAGCTCTGTTTTCCACCTGCAGGGAGAGGGGCTTACAGCAGATGGGCAGTATTTGTTATGTAAACTCACCCCAAGAGGGAAAAGCAATTAAAATGCGCTGTAAAAAATGTCCTGGAGCCGGACAGGTTTTTACACCAGCTTTTTCATACTGCTAACTCTTGAGAGCCCAAATGGGTTTTAGCAGCACTCGAGCAATTACCGTATTATCTTCCTAATGCTGACAAAACTCTTAGCTCTTCCTGTCTCTTTTCTTCCCTTCCTGGTGGGTTTCATTCCACTACCTCTTTGAGGCTTTTTCACCAATAATGGCAGGAGATAAGTGGGATTATTTTACTTTCTGTAACAGCCCTCTCTCTTCCTCCTTCTCCTGTATGTGGGCTCACAGGTACCACTTTACCACTGCAGAGACTAAGGAGACTTACACTCTGTACCCACCCTGGGGTTTGTACCAGCGTAGTGATTTCATTTGTGTGAAACCCAGGAAAAGGAGAAACCAGGAGAAACCAAGGTCCATCGTTTCAGGTCACAGAAACTGTGACACTGGTGAGCACAACCCACGGGAAAGACTCATGAGACGTCATCTGAGACACAGGAACTGAACAAGGGACGATCCCACCTTGGGAAAGAGATTCTCTAATGTGGGTTTCTTGATTCCCTTCAGACCCAGGCACCAAACAGGGGGGTTTTCAGGAAGACTCGGTGGGATGTTTCCACCACTTACGCCTTGTCACATGTTGCTTCATTGAAGCGGCAAGCATAGATGAAATTCTCAAAGTCAGACTCATCCAGGGCTTTCGCATCAGGCATCTGTGCCAGGATATTGATATAGTGGAAGCTGTACCATTCCCGCACAGCATCCACCCCGGAGGAGTACGCCTGATGGAAACAGTCCTTGTTGTTTTCACTGCACTGTTGAGAGAAGGAGAAAAACCAGCCGTGTCAGGGAAGTCTTGTCCAGGAGGGAAGGCTGCGGCTGTGGATTAGCTGTGTTCCCTCAGCATGGGCAGAACTTCACAGGGCTACTCAGCTTTTCCAAAAAGCCATCAGCAGGATGGGGAAAAGCAAAACCAGGGCAGGTCCCCGGTGGGAGGGAAACGCCAGGCGAACGAGCATGGTTGAGTACAACCCAGGAGGCAGCAGCAAGTCACAGGGTGGGGGGTGATGCACAGCACATAAATTCTACGTGGTGTAAACCCAAAAGCTTTAAATTCTTGTGTGGGGAACTCTTCCTTCAGGGTGTGTCCAGAAAAACGTTTGTGATCCTGTGGGAACTCCAGTTAACTGGCAAGCGATTAGCTTCAGTCCTTCAGTGCCTTTTTAAATGCAAACACAGGTACCCCAGGGCGAAGAAACAGCTACCTGGGAGCCAGCGTGGCCATGGCCACATTTCAGGTGGCCCACAGCCATCCAGTGCTTTCCCCTTTCGCTATTGTTGGGCAACGCTGTGGCTGATGTTAATAAATGTCCCTCCAAAGGCAACTGAAAGGCTGATGCAGCCTTCAGGAAGGACAAGGTTTCCCTGTCCTACCTAGGAAAAGATAGACGCTGATGTGGACAAGTCTCCTGGGGCCCACATGGACAGGACTTGGGGAGCAGGATTGCACTGGGCAAAGGATTCAGCTCTACCTTTATCCGTCATTAGGAAAAGCCCATGTAGCTTAATCAGGCTTCCACGTAGGGAAGGGCACGGCCAAGTCAGAAGTCGCTAGGCAGGGACTGGAGTGGGTAGGGCACGGGATATCTAGGGATCTCACCAGAACAAAGCCAATTTTCCAGTCGTTCTTGTCCACTGAGGGACTGTTCTCTGGCAAGTTGACTAGGTTATCCCGCTTCTGCCGTCGCAGCGGATGGCGCTGGACGTGGTGGAGCAGGCTCCTTGAGCTGCGCTTCCGCGCAGACGGCGCGGACCAGTCACTCCGTGCCAGAGACATGTTGTAGTCGTAAAGGTCTAGCAGCGTCTGATGGGTGATTTGATCCAGCTCATCCAGCTTCTTCCGGATGGCGCTGTACCTACGCGGGGTGGGGGAGAAAGAAGCCTGCAGGTTTAGGGCTGGGTGCACAGAAACAGCTTGGAATAAGAAAGTTTGCTGGGTAATTCAGAACATTCCGGTCACCAGCTGCAAATCCAACCCCGGGATGGAGGGCTACCATCCTTCTAGGAGAGAAGTAAAAGCATCTGCTCCTGCCCTGTGGCAGTTTAGGGTGCAGCTTGCTAATTTACACCACCAAGTAGAGCTGCCTAAACCATGACACCTGCCTGTGAATGCCCCGCAGCAGCGAAAGCCTGCAAAAAGCGCCCTTTCCCCCCGGCACCGCTACGGAAGGGGACGGTCGAGGACGGTGGGGAGAACAAGAGTACATGCTTTTATCCTACGCTCGCCAAAGTCCAGGCGGTTGACACCTCTGGGACGCTGTTTCTTACCTGTATGGGTTGAGGGTGCACAGGGTGACGGCTGGGAAAGTCAGCCTGTCGGAGTTGAGGTTGAGGTTGAGGTTGACGGGATAGCTGAAGTACTCCCTGTAGAGGATCCCAAACTGCCAGTACATTAAGCCGAAGGTGAGAAAGAAGAGGACGGACCAGAAGGCTGTCTTCATCTTATTCTTTTTGGAGCACACCAGGCGGATGGCCCCGTGGATGGTGGTGTTGCTGCAGAAGAACTGGAAAAGCTCCTGGTAGGAACCGTAGAATTCGATGAGACCCTCCTGCTCCTCTTCTTTCCGCTGCTGCTCCTCTTGCTTACACTGACTCGTTTTCTCGCCTTCTGGCATCTTCCCTGTCTTCGCAGGCCCACCCTACAGCGCAAGCTCAGAATTAGGGGCCAGCCCTGCAAGACCACGTCCCCGGGGAGCCGCGTCCGGCGCAAAGCCTGGCCCTGCATCCCTGTCTCCCCCAAACCTTGGTGCTTTCACCTCCTCCTCCCTGACCCCCGGGCGTCCCACCGAGGCCCCCAGCCCTCCGTGCACCCGC